AACTAAAAAAGAGTGGATGGAGGATGCGTGGCTCACATGCAAGCATGTAAAAGGGCAGAAATTTTTATAAATACATAGAAGTAATCATTTGGAAGATGAACTGAGATCCAGAAAGGGGGCCACTTCACAATTTAGATGCACAGAAAAGGGCTCTGGTGGTAAATATCAAAATGCAAACTGTGTTACTGTCTATGCACTAATCTCATCTTTAATATCAATTAAACCTTGTTATAATAACTTAAGAACCTGGGCCAAGAATCTTTCCTAAGGAAAAGAACTTTTGTTTTTCAGATTCTTAAATTTTTAAAACAAGCATGATTTGCTGCTCTGCTCACAATATACAAGAAAAGTCACATTTTATTTGTTTTAGTAAAATGAGATCTAGCTTTCAGGTCTCTCTCAGGACTACAAGCAATCTTTTTTTGTGTGTTTGTTTGTTTTTCTTACAGCTTTATCACTCCCCTAGTGTTACAGCAAGATTTAGGAAGCAGGCATTCCAGAGAAATGTGGCAGAGGCCTCCCTCTTGTCAGCCCAACACGATTACGACTAAGATTGTGGGGTTTATTGTTCTAGCCCCGATGGCCTGTTAGAAAGAAGAGCGTCTACCTCTTTCACTGCAGCTCCCAAGATCATGATGCTTAATGTTCTGTGCCCAGCCGTGTATGCCCAGACCCTGCTCAGTGTCATGGCCAGTCACAGAACCCACCACCCCTTTGTCCTTCCTGGTCCTGAGAACCCGACTCGACTCTCTCCCAGGCTGGAACCAGTGTCTTCCCCTAGAAGCACCAGCCCTCACCTGCCTGAGATAATCCAACAGTATTATTTCAATCAAGCATATAAATCAATGTCACTTTGACAGATCAATGTCACATTCTACTTTTAACTTTTTATTCCTATAAAAAGGTGTGTATTTTTTCCTATAACAAGGGAACACTAAACACACTAAAATTTGAATATACTTCCTGGAAAGATGAAGGGGAAATGCATTTTCATTCGTGAGTGACTCCACAACAACAAAAACAGATGAGTCACTAATTTATCAATAACGCATTAGATTAATTTTGTTACTCTGTTCAGTGAACATTTATTGGATTGCATAGCCATCTTTTCTCTCTCTAGGAACTGCAAGGATATTTATCTTCCTGGTCATGTTTTAATAAGACAAAAATATCAGCATGAGTGTGCATGTCTTCAACACACAATTTAGACGGGGTTGTAAATGAACCTGGGATTTACACTAGTGATTGACTGGCTATAGTCTGGTCCAGAGAGAGGAAAAAAGAAACGAAGCCTAATGGCTTCTACGTAATTTACCATTAATACAACAATAAAATCTGTTAAAACATCAAGATGATAGTTGGGACATATGGTTAGCATCACTTATCTTAAAATTAATAATAATAACATTATTATTAATATATGCATTGTTTGTGTGGCATTTTTAACCACTTGCCTATTTAATCTCAGCAAGTTTGTTCATAACTAAGGTAATATGAAGAGGTTACAACACTTTCATTCCTATGACATCTTCCACAGTTTGCCTTAGGACACAACAGAGGTTTCTGCTTAATTTTTGATTATGACGTTTTCAAACACAAAAAGTATTGCTGTTAAAGTAACAGAACACTCACAACAATACAAGATGTATCAAATGTTACTATTTTTCCATATCCTCATCATTACTATTTTTTAGAAATACACCACTAGATATAGTTAAAGACCCTGTTCCCTTTTCTGATCCAGCTCCAAGAAATTTCCTCCAGTGCCTCATCCTTTCCATCTTCTGTGTCATGTGTCCCTGACCCTGGCGGCTGTCTTAAATTTTTCAGAGAATAAACCTCCCATCTTCTCCAGGCATGAGCATGGATAGTCTCCTGGCTATCTAAAATGGAAATGGAGCAGTAGTAGGGTTTCACTGCTCCTCAGGGATTCTTTCAACTAATTCCCTATTTGCATCTCCTGCCTTACTTCCAGCAATATCCAGAGTAGCCAAAATTAAAATTATTTTCCAGGAGGGGTTGGGTACCTTCAATTCCTGAGCCTTTTTGTGACACTGTAAGGTGAATCGCTTACTTCTCACTGGCATCTCCTTCTGCAGGCATTTAAGTTTTCTAATTTAGTTAGACACTCATCTTTATATTAACCATTTTCCAACAATTGTGTCCATTTCTAGAATCTTCTACTGTCTTCTTTCCCAATTTCTAAACTTTTGGGTTTTTATGATTATCTCAGGGTTTTTGTTTGTTTGTTTGTTTAGTAAGAAGACATAAACACATGTGTTTTATCAACCAGAGGGTTTTTCTCCCCATAAGTATAAATTTTAAGACATATATTTATCAGAATTGTATGGTATCACAAAAGATCCCAAATAGCCAAAGAAATCTTGAGAAGCAAAGAACAAAGCCAAAAGTATCACAATTTATACTACAATTATACTGACTTTAATTTATAATACAAAGTGACAATAATCAAAACAGCAAGGTAGTGGCAGAAAAAGACAGTTATACCAATGGAATAGAATTGAGAACCCAGAAATAAACCCACATATATATGGGAAAGTAATTTTCTACAAAGGAACCAAACACATGCAATAAAGAAAAGAAAGCCTCTACAGTAAATGGTGCTGGGATAACTAGAAAGCCATGTGCAAAAGAATTAAATTATACTGTCTTCTGTTACCATATAGCAAAATTAACTCAAAATGGATCAAAGACCTAAATATAAGACCTGAAAAAATAAATTGCACAGAAGAAAGCAAAGGTACTAAACTTATGGACCTTGAGTTTGGAGAGAATTTTATGAATTTGACCTCAAAAGGGACGTAAAATCAAAATAAATGAATGGGACTGTATCAAGCTAAAATGCTTCTGCACAGCAAAAGAAACCCATCAACAAAACAAAGAGGCAACAAACCAAATGGAGAAGATATTTGCAAACAACATCTCAGATAGGGGCTAATATCCAAAATATATAAAGAACTCACAACTCACAACTCAACCACCAAAAAACAAATAAATTAAAAAATGGGCAGAGGACCTCTACAGGCACTTCTAAGAACACATACAGATGGCCAACAAATATATGAAAAGATGCTCAACTTCACTAGCTCCTAGGGAAATGCAAATCAAAACTCTAATGAGATAAACACTACTTCATAGCTGTTAGAATGGCTATTATCAACAAGACAAGTAATAACTGTTGGAGAGGCTGTGGAGAAAAAGAAACCGTGCAATGCTGGTGGGAATGTAAATTGGTACAGCCACCATGGAAACAGTATGGAGGTTCCTCAAAAAAATTAAAAATAGAATTACCATATAACCCAGCAACCCCTCTTTTGGATATCTTCCCCAAAAATCTGAAAACATTTATCTGCAAAGTTATATGCACCCCTATGTTCCTTGCAGCATTATTCAGGGTGGCCAAGACATGGGAACAATTGAAATGTCCTTCATTTGATGATTTATCCAATCATCTTTATCCAATAGATGATTGGGTAAAATGTGGTACATATATATAATGGAACATTACTTGGTCATGAGAAAAGATGAAATACTGCCATTTATGACAACATGGATAAATCTTGAGATTATCATGCTGTATGAAATAAGTCAGACAGAAAAATTTAAGAACCATGTGATTTCATTCGTACGTGGGATATAAAACTGAAAGCAACAAACAAACAAAAACTCATAGACACAAACAACAGTTTAGTGGTTATCCGAAGGTAATGGGGGGAGGGGGTGGTAGAAGAGGATAAAGGGTATCAAATATATGGTGATGAAGGAGAACTGACTCTGGGGGGTGAAAACCTGATGTCACATACAGATGATGTATCACAGAATTGTGCACTTGAAACCTGTATAATTTTGCTAACCAATGTCACCCCAATAAATTTAATAAAAATTAAAAATAAATAAAACACATATTAATGAACATAATGACTGAAAGAGCCCAAAAGTATCTAGTTGCAAGAAGCACCATTTCTAAAGGACCAGGTTTGCCTATAAAGAATAGTATAAGAGCAGGCCTTCATAAGTGTTCTACCATCAGAAAAAAACTTCTTTAGATAAGAAACTGGATCAACTATAATAGTATTATCCAGACAAAGGAAGACTCAGCACTTCATTTCCAAATGAACTTAACTAGGAAGTTGTGTGTGATTATTTTCTACCCCTTAGATTTGGCTCTGCTACCTGACCGTGAAACAGAAAAGCTTTCTGTTCTTGTTAGTGCTACTTGTTATTTGGAAGTTCAAAATGTGAGAGTATGTTACAGTGGGATTCCTCAGCATAAGTAAGAAAATGGCTTGAAAACATTTTTTTTATAATGGTAAAAGGGTTCCTACTTGTCCTGAACAATATTCATTCAACACTTACTTCTTCAACAAATATTTTTTTGGATGCTCATGATGCGCTATGCGTTGGACTAAGAACTCAGTGTTGCAATGTGTTTAACATTCATTCCCTGTATGTTTATGCCTATTTAATCCTATTAGGAACTATGTCTTTGTTACTCACCATAGTCATATAATCATTTTTAATTAACAACATGAAGAGAAAGTGGACTCTCCACTCAATTTGACAGGTGGTTAAAATTTTAAATAGTTATTGGATTTATTACTTTAGGATAATCTACCATATGACTAAAGGGTAAATGTGCTGAGCGGATTATAGTAAGAAGAACATTCCTTACAAGTGTCACTTTTTCTCCTTTTAATTGATAAAGAACATTAAAAAGAAAGGTAATGACTTTCAGCCACAAGGTCAGGGTATAGGAGAACATGTGTAAATTCTAATGTTTACTAGATCTATACAAAAAAAAAAATTCTTTCTACACTAAGTGCCTTTAATTTCTAAGAACCCAGCCCTCAGACCTGGGGTTGCCTCCCAGATCACTGCTGGAATTCCTGATCGTGGCAGTCTGAGGAAACATGAGTTCAGTTACCAAATATAGTTGAGTGGAGTAAGAGGACAGATGCGATTCTGAGGCCACAGTTGCCTCAAAGTGACCACAGACCAAGAAGTCTTTAATGAATAGACAAGGCCAACCTCTGCTCCCCCAGAAAAGAAACACTCATCTGAAATCCATCACCTTTGTGGAGTCTTCAAAGTAACCAAGGATTGGAAAGGTCTGTAAGATGCACCTTAATAAACTAACTAGTAGGGTAACATTTGTTAATTGTTTTTAAAAAGCTAAAAATATAATAGTAGTTTGCCAGAAGATATAATACTAGTTAGAAGATGCCTTGATTTTTTTTCTATTTGGAGAAGAAAAGTAATGAGAATTTTGTCATCTTTCCAAAAACAGAGAATACGTAAGATTTATCTGAAGGTTTTATTTCTACTTATGCTGTCAGATAACTGCATTTTCTATTATAAACTTAAGCATGCTAAATTGTTGCTATCAATTCCAAAAGGATTAAATGTAGTTATTAAACCATCATTTGTCAAGGTTGTATATATGTTTTGTTTTATAGAAAATAAGGCAGTTAATTCACCCATACTGGTGGTGTAATGATGTACTTTAGGTTTTAGTAACATTTTAAGTTGTTAATTACACTTTCAAAGGATTTTAAAAATCTGTTGAGATAGCAAGAGCAGATATCTTAAATTATATCTATGCATAAAGTTTATATGTATATATATATTATTTTTAAAAGATAAAGCTTACTAAGGAAAACTACAATATGTATTTTTCCAATCAAATTTAAACATCACAGTATAATTTTATACTATGTTGTTTTAAGTTATACATGAAATTGTCTTGAATCCAATATATAAGGTTAACACAAAATTATTTCAGGCTCATATTACTTTTTAAGATTTGCTGAAAATACTAATTGCCTTCTATTATGAATAATGTGACCACATATAGCGACCACTACCTGACAATATAATACTACTCAATCATGTATGTGCAGAAATTAAATCCTTATAACATGATACATGTACTTTCCAATATTTTCTCCTCAAATAAAGGACTCCAATGCTCACCTCAATTGCTCAGATTTTGAAAAGCAGTCTTTTGACAAATTATTGCTAACAGTAGACAAGGCCTGAGAGATTTATCAAGCCAATAGCTGCTCTGTAAATATATGATTACATATTCCTAGAATACAGATTAGTCCTCTTGTATTTCACTGTCTGATATGGATTAGGGTCTGTATCCTGGGGACTCTATGTCAGTTCTCTGTCTGAGCTTCTCTGTTTTATTGCTAAAACTAAATGTTGAAATGGTTCTATAGTTTCCTATACTTTCCAACAGAGTAAGCATCTAGATTACAGTGGACAATTACAATCACATAGATTTCTTTACCTCGTTCTCTAAAAATGTAGAGGGGAAACATTAGTCAAGTTTCAAAATAAATCTCACTTGTTCTTAAAGAGATACCAACTGAAAGTGTCCAGGATAAGACAAGAGCCTCGACTTCATTAATAATATGTGTGTGGAGGATATCAAAGGGTATTGTAATAGCTGAGTTCCTGTCAGGAATTTAGGCCATCTACAGTTCATGGTTGTGTCTCGGTTACATTCCAGCAAAGAAAACAAAGATTGAAAAAACAGTTCTGACTATAATTTGTAACTATTAAATGATATTAGAAAATATAGAAACATATTTGGTAAACACATTTTGAATTTAGGTTAGAGGGATGAAGCCCTGAATAAAGATAAAGGCAGTGGAAATGGATGATTTTAAAGGAAACTCTAGATATTTTCAACTGATTCAATATGGTGGCAAAATATGAATACGAAGAGGACACCAGGGATAACTTTCAATACTCTCTCTGTAAAATAATTTATATGGCTACAATGAGCATTAAGTGAATTATTATATTGTGCCCCTGAAATTGAGATAAATATACTGTTTAAGGTTATTTTAAACTGTAGAATAAATATGACATATCTTCCTGCAGTGACAATTCACTTAGAGATTAAGTAGAAATCCACATGTATTATTAAGAAATAGATTATAAAATTGTTGTGCATTATTTGCATCAAATAGGATTTTATATATTTTTCATATTTGACTTTTGACCTATAGCACCCTTGATGAAAAGAACATTACAAAAGAATAAGGAAGGAAGGAAGGAAGGAAGGAAGGAAGGAAGGAAGGAAGGAAGGAAGGAAGGCAGGCAATTTAGGTGATACAAACAAACTTGAACACTTCATAAAGCAGTCTCTTTTGGGAGAATTGTCAAATAGGGTGAGAAGCAGGAAGCTTTTATAGGATTAAAAATAAAAAACAAGGGAGAGAAAATTAGAAAATATCTGATTGGCTTGGGCCACAGTACCCACCTTGTTTGAGGGGAGAAGGAACAAGGAAATATGTATAGAGTCCAGTTGGCTGGGCATTTGGGGCTTGGCTGACTGGACAGACTACGTTTCTGGTCAAGCAGAGTATTTACAGGGACACAAGAACTATCTAAGCTTCAGTTTGCTGATGTGGCACCCTGGGCAAGAGTAGCTGTATGTTGTGCCTACAAAGTTACTTCAGCAGAAGAAATTTAGTCTAAGGACTGCCTGTGATTCCAAAACAAGAGGAAAAAAAGTTTCAAAGCTTTTCAAATTTTGTTTTCATAGTTTAGGCTTTATTTTTAAATAGTTTTAGTATTGAATCTTTGTACCAATAGTTTTGATTACTTTTTTATTAATAGTTTAAATATGAATTTAAATTTTAAAGTCACTCATCATTTTAACTTTTTTTCAAAGAATGTGCAATAAGGAACAAAAGATTTCCCTAGAAATCCCACCCTTCAACCTTATCCCTGTGTAAGCCCTACCATAAAGGTAATAAGCATTAATTGTGTGGCGCATGTTTTTCCAACTTGTTTCATGTATTTATTTCTAACCATATATACATTTTAAATGCTTAATGAAACATTACTGTCTGGACTCTTTAAATTGCCTGTCCCATGTGGTATGGCATACTGTGGGACCCTTGGTGCCTGTCAGAAAATGTTTTTCTTATATCAAACACTTAGTCTTTCAAAATTCTGGTAGCTCGTCCATGTCTCTACCAAAATATTCCATAAACAGATTCCAAAAGTTCTCCCCTTATCTGAATTCTTAAAGTAAATAACCTTAATATTCCCAAAGGGAAAAGAAAACTTTGTGGTTAAATGCAGATTTCAACTCTACGTCTACCATTTCCTGATGGTTCAACTTTGGCCAAGTAATTGAACATTTTTATGTTGTAGTTTGGGTAATAGAAATAGTGAAAAGAAAAAATAATGCCTAAACCCCTCAATTATACTGAGGATCAAATGGTTCACTATATGACTATATAATTCAGAAGCTGCTATACAGTAAGTCCTCAGGGAGGCTAGCTTTTATTGTTTGTAATTGAACTCCCCTTTCTATTAGACTCTACTATTTCTCATCCTTATGTCTTGTCTTCCCCAAGTTCTTCCCAAGTCAGGGAAATAGTGTACCTTTCAACAGTCTATGGGGCCTTGCCTCATGGGGACCCTGCCAGGAATGTCCCACAGTATTTTTTGATTGACAAAATAGAGGATTATCCTGGATATCATAGATCTGGTTTTCAAATAAGTATTCATCTGAAGTCAGCAACTCTAAATTTAAACAAACGTTATTCATCATTTCTAAATGTATCTATCTTTTTAAATATTTATATATTCATATATATGTGAATTTTATATATTTTATGTATATTACATATTCAGGAAGTCAAAAATAAATGTTTTTCCAAATACTAGGCTAGTAATGCCAAGACAATTTAGGATAAAAATGCCTATGTCAGAATGTGTGATATACATAACCAAATATAAACTATGAAAACTTACATGTTCTATATTTCATAGAACAGGAGTCCAACAAAATTCAGATGATATTAACTTAGGGAGAAGTTGTAAGCCATAAAATTACAACTAGAAATAATCTATAAATTAAGTGGCATAAAATTCCTTAAAAACTAATGAAGTATGCAAAGTGTTTTAACAAAATAGTTGACCGTGAAAGTTTACATTTGAAAGCAATATTTGCTTGGGATAAGCCAAGATGCTGACAAACTGCCTCTTGAAGTTCAAGGTAAAAGGGAATCTGTAATGCTTCACATTTGCCAACCCTTCCAAACCTTTGCTTCACCAGATGTTTGCTTACGATTAAGAGTTTGCAGGGAATATAATCAATAATATAATAACTTTGTACAGTGACACATGATTACTAGACTTACCAGGGTGATCACATTGTAAGGTACATAAATATCAAATCAACTGTTTACCTAAAACTAATATAATATTTTGTGTCAACTATAAATTAATTATTTAATAAAGATTGAGTTTGGCATTATGCATACATGTCAAAATTCACATGGAAGAATTTGCCTTCAGAACATCATGAGGATACCTGCAGCTGCCTCCATGATACAATTTGAGAGAACCTAAAGCAGATATAATTCCTAATATCAAATACCAGGTATATTTCTTTCCATCATATGCCATGATCCAGACACTGTGCCAAGCACTAGCCATACAAAGACTGTTGGTTGCTGCTCCTGCTTTTAAGGTGTTCATAGTCTCATGGAGAAATGGTTCTCTAAACTCATATTTATAATTCAGTAAGATGAATGCTATAATAAAATAACATGTAAAGTGTCATGTTCCGAAGAAGGAGCAAATTATACTGACTAGGGAATCATAGAAAGCACCGGAAGGAAGTAAAATTAAATAAAGTTTTCAAGGATGAACTGGGATTTGAAACACAGAAACAGAAGGGAATGGCAAAAAGAACAGCATGTGCAAAGGCATGGAGTCATGAAAGGACATGGAATGTTCAAGGAATGGCGAGTAGGCCAGTTAGGCATGACTGCAGCGTGTGTCAGAGTGACAATGGAGCATAAGGCTGGAGAGTTTACATCAGGGCAGAGTGTCCAGCGGCACACAGATAACCTGCATATCATGCTTTGGACCTTCTCTTATCAACCAGGGGCACCAATGGAAAAAAAAGTACCACAGGAATAGCATGACCAAATTTGTAAATATGATTCTTCCTACCATCTTTGATCTCCTATAGCAGTTTGTTTAAACTATTTTATCATATATAAAAATAGCAATTATCATGTTCCTCCTTGTGTTTCAGTCATTTTTACTCTGGGCTAATATAGTACCT